TTTAGCAAAACAGGAGCAGTTCACCACTCATTAATTACTGTAATTAAGATTATTTTTAGTACAAATAACAGTGATATTTTGGCCAAAGTTCGCCACCAACATGCAAGAGGTGTGGGAAAAATAAATTGTATCATATAACTACATGAGAACATTAAAGGGTGACAAAAGTGATAGGAAACAGTGTACATCTAATACCTAGATGTTCAAAATAATATGTTTTATTAATGAGAGCATATAGAGCAGGTAAGGTTATAAAATGATTTTAAAACAAGAAGCATTAGTTTAATAGAAGAAAGGAACGTATAACCATAATATTTAAGTATGACCGGGAGATACATACCTGAAGCCATATTAGATCTCTGTCTTGTCTGTTGAAAAAAAAAAAAATAAGGATGTATACAGATGTTTTAGGAGGGTGTTTAAAATACCTTTAAACCCTAGTTAATACAACACTCTGAAACATTACATGGAACTTTGCTTTAAATGTAGTTGGAAAGTGAACTATTTATAACCATTAAAAAAAATCATTTATGTATGCATGTGTTGAAGGCCGTATAATCAATTTATTCTAATTAATCAATTTTGGGTGCTGTACTGTTGTGAGTGACTTTGTTCGCATCACTCAACTTGGGATCAATTTATATTTGCTAGATTATATAGCCTGCTTTCTTCTTCAAGTCTATATTTTAAATTAGTGGATTTCTTAAGACTCTTAAGTCTTTCAAAAGTCATTGGTTCAATAATACAAGATGAAAGTGTTTTCACTCTGCTTATAGCTACATATGAAATGCCTGCAGTAGTTTCAGTCTGACCAATGTCAATCCATGCTTTTGGCAGTGTTAACCCTTGGCTCTTGTGTATTGTGATTGCCCAAGCAAGTTTGAGAGGCAACTGTTGTCTCTCATGTAAACCATCTAGTGTCTGTGAGGTTATTGTTATTGGGCATATAGGCACACATCGTGGAATGCTATCACTGATAGATGGACCTCTATACTCATTAAATTTTACTATGACAGCGACAGGCAAGTCTGGTGGTTGCTGGTTGTTTGCATAAATGAAATCTTCAACCGTTCCAGTTGCACCGTTACAAAGTCCAACATCTATCCATAGGTTCATGGTAAGCATTACATGTGCACCTTTTGCAAGGAAAATGGTCGGTTGTAAACCTGACATGTCATCCGAACTTGCTTTCTTAGCTATATCACTAGAGTGACGTGCAGTGATGCAGGCTATTGGCTGATGAAGTTTTGATAACTGTTCAAAGTTATAATTAGCAACTTCTTCATTGCTGAAATAGAGCCTAGTGGCATCTTGAAACTCATTCACGTTCAATGCTATGGAAGGCTGTCTTGCCAAAAGAAGTTTCCAATCTTGCTCATTAGAATCTCCTGTGCGAAGGCGTATGAGTAAATCTCTAAACTGAGCTTGCTGTTGATTTAAGCCTTGAACCCTCTGGTTTACTGACAGTTTTACAACATTGCCAAACATGTGATAAGCTAAATAGCCTTGTTCACCTGTAGAACTGGAGGGTCTCGAATGATATAATGGCTTATCTGCCACTGGAGGCATGGTTGAGCTGGGTCACCAACTAATATCATGGATTTACCACCAAATACTTCGTCATTTTTGCCTGTTGCTTGTCGGCAGCGTCTATCAATCCAGCCAAACAATGTTTGTCCTAGCATAGAGTATTCATCAATTAGGATATAACTGATATCTTTCAGCTTGGTTTGTAATGTGACAAGCCCTTGTCCTGTTAATTCTTTGTTATGTCTTGGGCCAACAGGCAATTTTAATAGTGAATGGATTGTACATCCGTTTATGTTAAATGAAGCTTTGCCAGTTGTGGCAGTCACTGCACAAGAGTGTTGGAGCAGGTTTCGGATGGCATTAATGAGGTAACTTTTCCCTGTACCGGCAACTCCAAGTATAATAAGAAGCAATGGATCTTTAGGGCAGGCTTGTTCAGAATGTGCTTTCACCATATTGTAGGCATGTCTTTGCATGTCACTGAATGTATTAACATCAATATTTTGTTGTTGCAAACCAAAGGTAGAATCCAAAGTATCTTTCTTAGTTTTTATCCAGGATGGCATTTCCTGTATTAAGTGATTTGTTGTGTTATATTATCTTGGTTAACAAAATACCCAGGTATGAGATCTGCTAAATCCATCCACTCTTCACGCTGTGGAAGCTCTTCTGAAGAGTGCTCTATATTTGGTTCCTCTTCTGTGTTATTCTGTACACTTTGTAGTTTTTCATACCAGTCAGGAACATGCTCTTCAGCATATGGTGTTTGTAGAAATTCCTTCCATTTTGTGATGTATATTTCATCAGTGCCTTCCTGACAATCCCAGGCATTGTCTTGTGTAGTATGCCAAGGTTTGTGCTTAAGTAACTGATATTTGCAATAAAGTCCAAAATTTGGACCTTTTGAATTGGAAGAAAATACTGGAAAAACTCTGGGAATCATGTTATGAGGCTGAACTGTTAGTTTGTTGTTGACAAGTTTGTATTTTGTTGCAAAATGAATGAAATTAAGAGCCATTATATCTGGGATGGTTTGAATATATTTTTCCCTTTTAGCGTAAGTATCAAGCAATGAGTCATTGGTTACAGTATCTCCATCATTTGTTATAGTTTTGATTCTACGTGAACCATTTAGACTAATAGGTACCACATTAAATGATGAGCTGACAAGTTTCAGTGACATGAGATGATGCATAGTCTCTTGTGCAGAGAAGTCACGTTGGCCAAGTGACTTCATTATCACTTTTTTATCAATTTTGTAGGGTTGCTATTGTTGTTGCAATTACGGACAATAGAATTAAATGCAAGTTTCATTACAGGTGACTTTGGTTCACCTTTTGAAGCATATTTTGCAAGGTATTCAACACATGCATGATAATCAATGATCACTTGAATATCACAGTTTGCTCTCCAGCCTTGAAGCTGAAGTCGTTGGTGATTATTGAGTCTGCTATCATTCCTCTTTGTTATGATCTTTGCTTTGTATTGAGTGCTTCCATCTTTTGTATGAATGGGCTCAAACTCTAGTTTTGTATTAACACAAGGTTCAAATGGAAACTTAAATCTACATTTCAGTTCTGTTTCGTTTTGTTTCTTTCTAAGACAATAGTTTGTACTACAGTGAGTGTGCCTTTGTACAGTATTCAACAAATCAACATAATCTTGTTCAGAGTCTTGTAAACTTACAAGGTCCTTGTGACGCTTTTGACAAGGATGAATAGAGGGCTTCACCCATGTGCCATTATCTGGTGGATCTGGATTATATGTAGACAATAACCAATCTACATACTGACAAACTACCTGGGAAGCCTTTTTCCCATCCACTATCTGTTGATTGAGTTCTAGTATATTGACTTGCTCAGCTGTATTAGTGGACATTTCAGCCAAATAGCCTTTTAGAGCTGTTTCTGAGAGTTTACATAAACCTGGATCATTTTTCAGCTTTGCTACACCATGACAATGTATACTACCTCTAGCTTGATATTCAAATCTGTACCAGTGCCACTCAGCATCTAGTGAATTGTATAACCAGTATTTAATAAAACTTTCTAAACGCTGTGTAAAGAACCAGTCTGTAATATGAGGATTGTTAATCACATTCTGCCGTTTGTTGTCAGTTGAATTATTACTGACTGAGTTGCCAAAATTGCATGAAGTTCAGGCCAATGCATATCAGCAGAGGAGAATGTGAAAAAAGAATGTTGGAGCTCCAGCATGGGCTATTATTGCTTTTAAATCTTCTTTAGCTTTGTGCCAATAAGCATTAGAACCAGTAATGTTACTAAGATAGCGTGATATCTTAGATATAAACATACTTGTGTTATTGCTAGTTGCCATTTGCCGCAGCTCTTCAGCAGTCAAATGAGCTTCTCCTGGGTTTTGTTTTAGGAACATGCCTGTCTGTTGCAGAATACGTTTTCTTTGTATCATATTCAATGCCCAGTAACCAAATCTGGGGTGAGTAGCAAAGCGATATACCCATTTGTCATTCTTGTTTTCTCCAAACTTTAAAAGGTGCTTTACTCTTTCTCCGAGTGGTATATCTCGGCGTAATGATGGGTTAGTAGGATCACCCTTACCATCTGGAAATAATGTTGGGAAAGCCATTGTTGCTAAAAAGGGAGTTACATACTCGTTTAATGGTTCACTGCCAACTGTTGGCCAGGGCAAGTGATTAGAATCATTAGACAATTGTTGGCGCACAGCTTCTATTTCTTGCTGCTGACACTCTGGAATAGGCAGAAAACTACTCATTTCAGTACCCTCATTATAAACAATGTCATCTTCATTTTGAGGACCTAAGTCAGGTTCACATGTGGCATCCAAATCTATATTCTCTGTTTCAACCGAGAGAAGACCATGTGGAACACCATGTTCTGGTAAAGAATTTAAAGAATTTTGATTGATGGTTATGTCCTTGTAGTGTGAGTTATTATTAACAAGCCATTGTAGTGCATCAGCTACATTTTGCCTTCGCACTGTCACATCTTTAAAACTGTTCTCTTTACCTTTCATCTTAACAACAATAACAGATAGATCTTTTGGGTATCTAGGCAGAGAATGTGCTAGTTCAGCTATATCCTGAGGCAAATTGATACAGTGGCCTGAATAGCCCCTTTGTCCACCAGGTTTTATGTAAACTCGCATAACAGGAAGTGCACGTGCAATAAGCATTTCTTCTACTTGGGTTAACCCCTGCAGTTGTAAAGGTACTAATGATGGCACCATGTCATTTTCCTTAGAAAACTTTTTTTGGTTGTTGTTTATCTCGTATGCACCTCTGACACTGGTAGTGATCAACCTTCCTTGGACTGGATTTCAATGGCCATGCTTCAAAACAGACAGTGCATTGGCAAACTGAATACTGATTGGACTTATGAAAATCGTTCATGTTATTTTGTGCATGTTTTTGTTCGTGAACTGGACCAGCAGAGCTCTCTTTTTTGTCCTGCAGAAATTGTTTGAGACCTTTTATAACTGGCTCTCCTATTTGCAAGTCTCTCTTTTCGCTTTTCAACAGTTTCTTCAGACGTTCTTTTTCTATAAGAGTCTTTGTAACTTTTAGTCTCTCTTTTTTTTTTCAACAGTTTCTTCAGACACTCTTTTTCTATAAGTGTCTCTCTTATTTTTAAGTCTCTTTTTCGTTTTTCAGCAGTTTCTTCAGACATTGTTTTTCTATAAGTGCCTCTCTTATCTTCAAGTCTGCTTGCCCTTTCATTAGCTGTTTCTGTATATTTGACTCTTTTCATGTAATTTCTGTGCTTAAGAAGTCTACCATGTCTGTTTTCATTGGTTTCTGATAATTTTCTCTTTATGCATGTGAGTTTGTTTTTATATCTACTGTTTTTGTCAGTCAATGTTGAAACATAATGCAACTCGTTAATATATCCAATAAATATTGTCTTTCGTCCATCCTGATCAGCAACAGGAGTTAAGATTGTACTTTCAGGTGAATTTATATTAGACTGTGTGATATGAATAACACAGTTGTATGCATTGACCACAGCTTGCATTATGATGTTATCACACCATGTGCCTTGTTTTGACATTTGTTGAATATAGTTATTCCAGTGATCATTAGAAATGCTTTCAATATACAATTCTGGGTAACTCTGTAAATGGCCAATTCCAGCCATACGAATTTCAAGATGCAAGTCAGCAGTCCTATACAGTTGGTGCGAAACTGATTTAAAGAAACAATCCCCAAATCCACCTACATCATGTGGTATAAGTCCTATGAGACGAAGCCTTTCAGTTAAACAATCCCATGGTAAATCATGACTAACAGCATTCTCAGGAGACATACCTCCATTTAATTTTGAATTATCATTATGAGTTTGAGGAAAGCTTTTTCCACCAGAATTCATTAAATCTGCCACACGGATATGTGTTTGTCTACAGTTACATGTAGAATAGTTATCTGTTGTTGTAAATGTTCTCTTCTGTATGTTCATGTAAAAAACAAATTTACTATAATAATGATCATTGGTATACCAGAATTTCCAGGTGTTGTAATTTCTACATAAATTAGTGATAAAAGAACTGTCTGGAAGATGTTGTCTTACAAAAGACTTGATTCTATTCCTAGACTTCGTATTACTTAGTGCCTTTAGAATTATTTTAACAGGAACGCGAGATGGTTCCCTGTCCCTTTTCCTCTGACAATTCACTCTTTTCTTACGAACTTCAACATTTTCAGAAATAGTTACACTATGATTTTCAATTTTCTCAGAAGAATAACTGTCTTGTCAAAGCCTTATCATGATCTTGTGAACTACAATCACCACTTATCAGCCCGGTAACCATTTGACTTTTGTCACTTTTCATTTGGCGCAATGGCCATCGAGCAGAATGACTCGGTTTATTTGCTTTGTGACCACAACGGGTCATTTGGCGCAATGGCCACCGAGTACAATGACCCGGTTTGTTTGGTTTGTATTTGTGACCGCTATGGGTCAAAGCACAATGGCTTGGTAGATTTGCTTTGAGACAACTTTGTGTCAGAGTTATCGGTTGATTTGCTTTGTTGTTCGGCAAATTCGAGGACATCAATTCAAAGCAGGAGAGCAGCGAAGGTCTTCGGTTTGTTGTAGTTCGGACAACGCCGACATCGGGCTTTCTACATGCTCTTGGAGTACTAAAAAGTTTCCTGGTAAGGCTTTGACAAGTTGAAGCGATGAACTTTTTAAGAAACATCGCATGAAGTTTGAGAAAAATAAATGAACTTACCTAATAATCCAAAGATATCCACGGAGGCGACACGGACGCAAAGATATCCACGGAGGCGACACGGACGCACGAGGAGCTTGCACTCGCACGAGGTATAGTTGCGTGCGCACTCGCACGAGGTATAGTTGCTTGCGCATAAAAATAGTTGTGTGCGCATGTCCACCAGGTGAGCCCGCAATTTCTTTGGCCGGCTATTGGGCTTAAAATTCGTGCGCGCGCTTAATAATTATTCAAAATGGCGCAGATTTTGAACATCGCCCGTCCAAGTAACCAAAAATCTCGAATCTTCACGCCTGGCATGCACAGGTATCCCATCGACCACAGGATCCCCAAAGATTACGAAGCGTTCTCCTAACGTCGAACGCAAATACCTTGCTTTGACAGCCACTAATTGACATCCAAAATATACAAACGTTAAATTACATCCAATATTAAAGTTGTGGCTGGACGTAGGCCAATGCAATTTTTTTGCAAATATAAACTCTTGTTGTCTGCCTATGACACCCCCTCCCCCTACTCTCACTGCACGAAAACTTGGATTAACGCAAATTTGCTTGGTGCAAATATGGTGCAAAAAAGTGCAAACTAGGGGGAAATAGGAAGCAAAGATGGTAAATTAAATGGTAAATTTGTTTGCCGGTTTACATGGGGTTGTAAATTTGAGGGCAAATGCGGTATTTACCATCTTTGCCCTTTATTTAACCTTAGTTTGCACTTTTTGCAGCAAATTTGCACTGAGTAAATTTGGTGTAAATCAAATTTTTCGTGCAGTGTCTCCTTTCCAGGAGGCTCTTGTCCACTCTTCCAGAGTCTCTACGTATGTTAGCCGACGCCAAGACCCAAATTTGTCGCAACTATAGGTTACCGGATTTCCGTACCCCAAAAAATTTGGTTATACTGCATGCAATCTAAATAATATGTTACCTACATAAAGCACCCAAATGTTTCTAAAGATATTTCCTCTTACACCATACTATTACGGACTCTTAATTCCTATTAAGGATATGAACACGTGACTGTTTGCGGAACCAAAGTAACAGAAATTACTTTGTTGGTTTTCACATGACGTCACTAAAATTCAAACTACAAAACTATCGATCCTACTGAGATTTTACTTTCATGGCGTATTAGAGCAGCTGAAAACTAATTTTCAAACAAATTTTCGCTTCAAAAGGGTTCTTGGTTTTCAAATAGAATTCGCTTGAATTTCTAAGCTTTTGCGTGACGCAGCATTTACATGACGGCCGAGAGAGCTGTCATTTAGGTTAAAAACGTGACTTTTTTCGAGGAATTCTGCTATCTAAACAGTTCAAGTGTTATAAAAAGTATTACTTTAATGTTTATGAGTGCCTCTAGGAGTAAATTCAGCTTTTGTAGCAAAACTCGGTAACAGATGTTTCTGTTGGTTTCCGTCCGTTATGTCGGAGCTAATCCGGAGGAGCTCCAGCATGGTGTCTCCATACAAAGCTCTATAAATTTGGGAAAAAAATTTCCTCGGATATCTCGTATACGAGTTACCGTAAAATTCCGTAAATAAGCCCCTCCATGTATAAGTCCCTCCAAGTATAAGCCCCCCAAGCTCGTAACGCAAAAAACCCTCCGTTAAATCGCCCTTCCGAATTTCAGCCCACCGGGGGCTTGTACTTGGAAATTGCCCTCAAACACAAACTAAAATAAAGGAAAAACGGTCAATTTCCTTCCAACTATAAGGCTAGCCCAATCGATTTTGAAACGCAAATTTCCCTCCATATATAGGCTCCTCCGAATATAAGCTCCTCCAAAAATAAGCCCCTCAAAAAGGGCCTTTGAAAAATATAAGCCCCGGGGCTTATTTTCGGAATTTTACGGTATTCCTTCGACCCAAATCTTGCGAGGGTCTTTGTTTATTTACCTCCTTTCATTTCCCAGATTCTGGACTTCATCTGTCGAATGGTTTTGACTTTTATTTTGATCTATTTTGGATGGCGTGACACTGAAAACCAGCAATTGGCTGTAACTCGCAACCTTTACCCTCAAAAGCAAAAACCCTGGGAACGAGGTTGTAAATCCATTTTATACGATATATTTGGTAGCCAAGAATCCTAAAAAAATATCTGGACACGTTCGTAATATTGAAAGCCTATCCTTTTGACAATACTCTGAGGATGACTTTTCGCTGATACTGTATTGAGTTCGCAAATCCTTTTTCCAGGGCTTCTCGTGTATTGCATTGAAAATGACAAGCATGTCTTGTGTTGACTGCACTTGAGCCCGCATTGTATTTTGCTGGTCACTTCTGTTTTAAGAAGCAGAAAGCCTTCTACTGCTATGTCCTTACTTGTCACCCAAGAGTTATAGAAGGCGGATTTATCTGTTGACAAAAACAAAACAAACCAATCTGTGATAAGGCAGAAATGGTCTTTCATAAAAACTGCAAACATCAATGTCAAGAAAAGGCCATTTGCACGATGACGTTAGTTTACCACTACGACCAGAATCCTCCAGGGTTTTGCTTTCTTGTGTAAATTAGGGCTTTAGAATTACCAAATTTAAATATGAAAGGAAAGACGAAAAGGACTCTGGCCGTAGTCAGGACCAAAAAAATATGACTAATGACACTGATTAAGGTATAATCCAAGTTTATATAAACATTAAATTTTTAAAGATACAGTCGACTCCCGATAACTTAAACCTTTAAGGGAAACCGAAAAAAGCTCGAGTTATCGGGAGTTCGAAGCAAATAACCGGAGATAAGCAAGTCGTTGGGCGTGGGATGCAAGTATCGAGCACTCTTCACTACAAGGACTTCAGTACTCTGTTTTTTCCCCCGACCTGTCACGCGTATAAAACATGGTTCGAGTTATCGAGGTCATTTTGTATAGAAACGATGTGGACAGAAACAAAAATTACTTCGAGTTAGCGGGAGGTTCAGGTTACCGAGGGTAAAATTACAGTAAATGTATGAAGGAAATCCAGGGGAAATTGAGTTTGGTTCGAGTTGGCGCGAGGTTCGAGTTATTGGAAGTCAATTACTTCAGCTGCGCGATTTGCGCTACTCTTTATATCACAAGGAAAAGGTGGTTAGACCTATCTTTTCCTTGATTTTGCTATGTTATAGAAGTGCTCTGCAGAGCTTAGCCTGTGGTGACCCCTACAAGAAGATAAAAATATTATGGGCTATGGCGCTGCTAAGGGACAAGTAATCTCATTCCAAATAGCCGCCATCTTAGTCGCAGTCTTGGATTTTACTGAAAATTCAGAGATTTAAAAAAGCAGTTTTGAAACTAACTGCTCATCATATTTGACTGTTGAAATTTTGTTATTAGTAAACATTTTGCTGGTTTATGTCCTGTTTGTCTTTTTACGGGATCAAGCGAAAAAGGGGCCTACTAGAAGGGTGGGGGAGGCAAAATATGAACAGAGATTTACCATTATCAGTGGAGTATTTTACAATAACTTTGAATAAATATTCCCCCGAAGTCATTGGTAGATAGCTATAGTCTATAGAATGATGAGTAAATTAAACAACGGAAGTGGCCGGAATTTTTAAAACTATGCGGTTATTGTGCTGGCATAGGGTTTGTGGTCCGTGGGTCATTCGTCCATTTAATTTTCAATTTAAAATTAAAAATTGAAAATCGATGTCAATTTTCGATTTTCGATTTTTGTTCTTTCTGTATAATGGATAAACATGTTTCATAACTCTTTTTACCGTTTTCCCCTCTACACAAAAATGAGAAAATAAACACACAGCTCAATCAATATTAAAACGGTTATCGAAATATAGATATTTTCGCTATTCGCGGGAAAACCGTTTCCGCAGTCATCTGTCAACTACTATGACGTGAATTAAGAATTTTTCAATTTTTTCAATTTTTCTTTTTGGACGAAGAATTGATCAATCGATCACGCTCTAAGTGACAAAAGTACCAAGAGGGGAGGACCCAAGTGTAGAAGTGCCCAGTAGGGGAGGGGAGGGAAGAGGGAAAGGGACTGAGGTGGGGGAGTACCCGACCCGAGTCAGTTTAAAACAAAGACGCCATCTTGAATTGCAAATAGAACACTATGGGGACGGGGGTCAGGGTTGAGTTCTCTCTTTGTTGAACCGCCGCTATAACATCAAAACTAAGAAATTCCCAACCTCCTTTGTTGAAAGTAGAGAAATCGTTCTTAAGCTTATGTTTTTTAGAATAATGTACATTTACTAGGTTTTATTTTTGACTAAAATAAATATTGGACTTTGGGCTCCCCCCTGTGTCTTATTACTTTGACAACACCCATGGTTTTTCGCGCGCTTTTGTACCTGTCTTTTTCATCACGGTTGTGTTTCGGACGAATCTTCTCTCTGTTGATGGTCAGGTCTCCCTTTGTTGAATTCGTTCGTTCTACTTTTACTTCGGTCCATTTAGTATGACATCTCTGAAGAGTTTCGATTTAAGTCGAGAAGGAAAAGAGCTACGAATTCGAATGAATTCGAGCGACGTAAATGTCGCTCGACTTTCGCGAGCTTTTCAGGTTAAGTAAACACAACCTCGAACCATCTCATTCCTTAATATTTAAGCTTTGAACATCTCTTTAATGTAAAAATCCTACGTTTTAGGTTGAAGCGAACTCGTTATATCTCAAAGAAGAATTTGGAGATATGGCCTTTTGGCCAAATGATGCAGTTCGGTTTAACCTCGGTCACCAAATGGGTGGAACGTCGTTGCAAGTTATGGGGGAATTTGTGCAGCCCCCCTCTTCATATGCCCCACAAGTCGCAGAACAGCACTCTGGACAGCTTAGTCAAGTATTCTCATATGGAGTCACTCCCGGAAGCTCTTCAAGGCCTGCACTCTTTGGTGGAAATAAAAGGAAGGGTGGTGCCCTCGTGAAAATTATTCATGCAGAAATGACCCAGAATGGTAAAGGATCCCCATCTTTCAGTGAGCTTGGGCAGACATACCTTAACATCAATGTAGATACAGCCAATGTCTACTATATTCTATCAAAGGCAAGAGATGCGTTCAATGATCCCTCTTTAGAGTTGGTGTCTAGTAATGGTCTGAGGATAATGGACAACGAATGCACTAAAGGTTACTAATTATATAATTTATATGCATTGTTGTCTTTACCATCGCATAACATATATAGGTCTTGAAATATCCATAGGTCTTGAATATCCACACATAATCAGTGGGGTGTATTATCAGTAACATTTTATTATTGTTTCGAAAATCAGTCTGTCACAAATATACAGCTGAATATTGTTCAAAAATCTTGTATGCAATGTCACTTTTGTCCTGTACTGCAAGTTCAGTCGAAATATTAGACCCAGGGTACTGAGAAACATGAATATTGGTCCATCTAGTCTATTGTTTGAACTTTGTGAAATCATCGATCTTCATCGTCATCAAGATAATTGTATTAACTTGTTTCTGTGCTTTTTTGTAGGTTTGTCTTTTTGGAAGTGTGGAAGCAGAAAAATTTATGCTGTGAGGGTCACTACACATGTTCCTTTAAAGAGATCAGCCAAGTCAAAGGCAAAAGCAAGTTACAGCTCATGTTATGACATTTCTGATGATGGTGATGAATACTTCACTCCCAAGAAGACTAGAGGTGGTAACCATGGAGATATTCAAATAGTAAATTCTCAAATAAATGAAGTCAAATCAATGGTCAGTGACATATTGAAAGTAAACCAAATTTTGTCCTTGCCACTCGGGGTAGTCAAACTTCTAAGAGATGCTTTCATATGCAAACTCTGTCTCTGCACACCTATGAAACCCCCAGTAATTGCAGCAAAGTGTTGTAACAGCTTAATTGGCTGTGAGGAATGTGTTAATCATTGGTATGATGGGGCTGATGGACTTAGTAAGAGGTGTCCACATTGCAATGAACCAAGAGGATATGCCTCTACCTTTCAGTTTAAAGGCTTAGATGAGTTTTTAGTTGGGGTAAGGAAGTTGATCAAATCTGATGAAAGTAATGCCAGTGATTAATGATGGAAAGAGAAATAATCTACATGAATGAAAATACTGGCTTTTCAGTTTTGTGACTTTTAATTGTGTTTTTTCAGCTTTGAACCATTTAATTGGTGGATTCAAGAAGTTTAATGTTTAAGATGATTTTGTTTGATCATGTTGATATTTGGTAAAGCAGGAAACTGTTGTAAATTTGAACATTTTATTTCACATCTTAATTCAAGTAAAACAACATAGTGATATTTTCACAGAGTTTCATGAATGGTTTTGAAAATCATGTTACCATTTCTACTTTGCAGATGTAATAAGTATTCAATTTCATGAAAATAAACAGAGATATATTGAAATCATTAAATATTGTGGTTGTTCTAACAGTTAGTTTGGACTATATGTTGTAGTTAGATCAATGAAATTCGTTAGGCCCTCTCTAAATGGGTGATGATCACCATTCACAAGACGATAGAAAATGACCTCGAAACTACGGTAAGCAAGTTATCAAAACGCAATTGCTGGAGCTGTTTGTTCCCAGCTAGGATATCAGTTCCAAACACTTCTGGAGATCTAAGATTGCCACCACCCCTTTCATAGGCAGATACAGCTTCTTCACCAGTGGGAAGCATGTCTATAGATGGAAGGATAAATGTCTTCTTATTTTCCTCCACTTCTTTTATCTGGAACTCCCTTCCCTGTTAGAATAGAAACACTGATGTTCAAGAAGAAAGATGTCTCTTGACAATAAAAACAGTATTAACCCTTTAAGTCCCAATAGTGACCAACAGCAATTTTCTCCTAACAATGTCCATACATTGTCAAGAGTTAAGGTTGTAAGAATCTAAAAAAATAACACGAAAGAGAAAATGCCTTGATGTTTTATTAAATTCTCTCAACTTATTCTTTAAGGATTATGTATGGAGATCAGTTTGGAGAATTTGTATGTGGATACTAGGGCTTAAAGGGTTAAGATATTCAGTTTTTTACAATTTTTGTTATTGGTGTAGCACTCCCACACTCAGAAAGTTAATTATCCCAACAGATGAATATCGAGTAATTTAATTTACCTGAGAATGTGGTGTTTTTTAAGAGACCCTTCTTAATTCTCGTTACCTGTCATATTTAACTTGGCAGTTATTAAAACTCCTGGTACAGTTAAAAACTTGGAATTAATATCGATTTTCCATAGGCTGGGTTTACTGAACCACCATGACCACCTCAATAAACTCTTACCATGAATAGCATGGTTGTTCCAGCTGGAAATAACTTGTTTGATTCCAATGTCTGCTACCCTGGAGGTAAACCATGATACACAGAACTTGTTCATGTCATCATCCATATTTATTAGGTCTTCATTCACCATAGCATTTAGAGCTCGTTTAATAGGGTAGTTGACACGGGAGTTAAACTCTACCCATTTTCTCTCAGCAGGATGATTCTTGAAATGAGAAAAATAATAATAAATGCTAATAATAAAAATAATGATTAATGGTAATTATCATAATAAATAATGGTGACATGTTCACTAAACAAACACCTGCTTCGAAGTTGTTTGTATAAATGGTGCCCTTCTTGTATTGGTCCTATATGGAGACATTTTTTCTTGTACATACAAAGAGAGATAGAACTCTGTTCCATGGTCTACTCTGAGTTGATCCCAAATGCCATGCCGAATGACCGCAGTTCTTCAAAGAGAAAAGTAAATATAGGATGTAATATTTAAACATCAATAACACATACAATTAGGTAAGTAAATAAACATAAATCAAATTTTAATATGATCTATGCTTGTTTTCGTGATATATTCATCACTGTTACCTGGCTGCATGCTTCTCTTATTTTACTGTTTATACCCTTGCTGGTACTTCTTATCTGGAAGTGCTTGTTGTTAAAGTGGAAACACTGCTGCAATAATTGTAATATTATTATCACCTATAGTAATAATAGCAATTTTTAAAGAATTTTTGAATACTGTACCTGTAAACATTCTCATAGATCAAAGCATTGTTCTTCACTGGCATAATTTGTTGGGAAAATCCACAATCCTTCCGCTATAGCCATCACATGCACTGACTTCAGTTAATCTATACATTGCCAGTTTTTAATTTTGGTCCATGTGCCAATTGTGACCAAAATAGTCAGCATGGTAAGGATAGGGATTGGTTTGCCTGGCAGTGTTGGTATTTCTCTGGACTTGGTACAGAGTGAACGGGCAAGGGCCAATTCCAACAGACAACACGTGAACTCACAATCAGCAAATGTTTTACTATTACCAAACCAAAAAAGAGTAAATTCCTATACAAAGAGCGAAAAAATAATAGTTACAATACAGAAAAACTACTTTAAAGGGACTGCAAAATGAAATTAATGAAAAAACGATGAAAACGAAGCTGCTTACCAAATGCTGAGGATAACAGAGTCGGTGGTCAGGGCCACCGAGGAAAAAGATAATCTACTTCGACGAATGTTGTTACACTAATAGACACGTAAAAACTGGTAATAAATAGGGGCGAGATAACAAACTATAACGAAATTTACATACAGCACGTAACAAAGAGCGAAAAGTAAAAGAATACACGACAACAAGTAAGTGAGAAAACGAAAAACAAAAGGAAAAAAATTTGCCCCAACACAGAGGAGAGACAATTGACAAAGCTTTTCCAATGTGCTTGTCACCAGCTGTTATACCACAACCGGCCATATATCCTTTCACCATTTTTCTACCCCATGTGGGTCCAACCTTGAGTAAAACACATCAAGAACTTAATGATATATTTCAACTGTCTTTGAGATGGACACCTTTGGGAGACATCTCCAAGTTGCCAATTTAAAAAGTGTCCATCCCATTGAAAGTTGATTAGTTAAGAGGGAGTAGCCTGTGTACAGACGCCCCCCCCTCCCCTCCATCAGTAAAAAAAATTCAATTTTTTTTTTGCGGGAGCGGGGACGTCTACACACAGGCTAAGACTGGGAGTTGACAGAGAGCGTATGCTTTTGGTGTCATCAATTTGCAACGTCATATATAGTTATTGCATTTTGGCTGAGAGTTCCAGACTTTGCCTAAAGACAAGATAAGGTTTTACTCCTACTATGATGGTGAAATTTAAATGTATTAGACATATATCAGTCTGCTAATGGTGATCAATGTTGATTTGGAATAGATCAGAATGAGGATTTCATCTCCACTCTTAGGGGCGCAGTCCCTTATTTGGCCTAGAAGGGTACGTGGCGCTGAACAGGGTGTGGTATCCGGGTCTTGAGTCTTAAGCAGGTTATACAATTTAACTATTTAGCGCCTTGAACAGGGTGTCTTTATGGACCGGTAGCCTTGAAAAGATTGTGAAGGTTGGTGATGAACGGTTTACGTGTGGTACCAACAACGTTTCTTCGAGTAATATCCATTCATGATGTTACTGTATGAAAAATTTCTTAATTCAACCAGTTTTTTCCCCACAGGAAAAAAAAATGAATTTCAAGCAAAAATACCCACCCTAGCAACAACTTGTTTCGTGTAGTGTTCTACAGGTTTCCATCCACGAAGAGTGTAAGGAAGCTATCACACGTGATGTTGAGTTTGATGGCACTGGAAATACCTTTGCAATGCAAAATAATCACGTAAAATGCTGTCCTACCTGTCATACGTTATGCTCAAGTTAACGGCATTTTCGATGCTCTTTCACTCACTTTGCAAATATTCAATCACAGAGGAGAAAGCGGTCACACGTTCGTTAAATTGAGTTTGGTGTTGTTGGTAGTGCCTTTGCAATGCAAAGAAACTGCTAGAAAATACCAAGAAAACTTCTTTACTCAAAAAACGCGAAGCTCCGGCGTGATATTTTTGAGCAACCCCAGTCTCAATCTTCGTCGGTTTTTACCCTCACAGACTAGCTTTCCAGTGACCGCTCGCGCGCGCGTTCTTAACCTACATACTAGGCAAAAATACGAGGGCTGTTTCAGTCTAAATATCCCTGAGAGGCAAATGAATCACAGTTGAAAAAAACAACTAAACTGAAATTGTCACCCACTATAGCTACACCGCCTCTAATCGCCTCTAATAAAGCATTTATTCTGAATGCTTTTGCAATCATAAGAAGTAATTGGAATGGAAATAGTATCAATCGGAAATTTTCACAGGTAACTAACTTCATAACAATGGTTGCATGTGCCTTAGAAGTGAATGCATAAAATGTGCGAGCCCTGCTTTTGAAGAGCTGCCACTTTCTTGTGTTTTAAGGGGGCTCACACTTAAATCCCCTCTCAAGGTTCTGAAGGTTTTCGTTTCCTTAAGCGTTCAACTCCACCTTGATCAACAAACGCTAAGAACTGTATAATACAAAGCCTAGCGCTATAGATTAAAGTTTGTACATCTGATAATACAAAGTCATGCGCATGTAAATATAGACTCAAGCTCAAAATTGGTCTGAATCCGCGGTGCTTGCCAAATAATCGAAATTTACAATCCGGCCTGGGTGACGTGATAATGACCTCAAAGCTTTAAACCGCCGACATATTGGATTTTTATTATTATTTGATAAAAATAGTGTGTGCCGAAATAGGGACAGAAATTATAAAAGGGGTACCGAAAAGTTCTTAATTTAAGTTTAGATTTGTTGATTAGATTTGGAAGTAAGAAAAGTTGCACATGTTTCACCATGAAAATGGAGCTTAACTTATGTTCATTTGGTTGTTATTAGGCCTAGTAATATATGTTAAAAATTACAATTCTGTAGGTTCATGCATGTGGAATAGGTATAAGAACAGGAATTACAGGTAACTGATCTCTGCAAGACCAGTTCTATTTGATATATCTACAATAATTTCAACACTGAACACATTCACCTCTCGCCTCTAATGTGTAATCCATAAACTCTCTGAACGGAAAATACTTACTAGGTTATGTTCTAAAAAGAAGACGTTTATTGTCTCGTTAGTTTTTTCTTTGGACTTTTTGAGACTGATTACTAAACTAGAATATACTTTCCTTTATAATATGAGGAGGAGTGGACGAATAGATTATTCGTCAAAGGTCACCTATGTTTAATACAAGATTAGGTTTTCTGATTGCCCTACAAGTAGCACCGGAACGCCTTGGAAACTGATTGTCTAGTTAGTCAGAGGACACCTTTTGAATTAACAGTACCATATATTTTAAATAAATATTCATACCTTTGTCGCTGCAAACTTAATTAAGGCAAGAGAAAATTCCTTTAAAATGAGAAATAGCGCCACAATTCTCAACAGCTTGGATATTTTACTCATTTTTTTCCTGTAACTGATCATATTCCCTCTCCATGGAAGTGCGGATGCATAAATGTGTTTATTTGATTCACATCTTTTCTTCGCAAAAAGTACTTTGCTTTTAGATCAAAATTCCTGCTGGTGAAAATATTGAAGCAAATTTGTTAGTACATTACCAGGAACGAAAGGTAAAGTTAAAATATTTCTCCGATTCTGATTGGCTAAAGGCACACGTTTAATTCACCATAACCAGTTACTGATGACCAAATTTGGAAGAAATTTGACTTTAACGAGGAAATGACGTCAAAAATGTAGCGTTTTCGCAGGTCAAGGCACCGATAACCGAGAAGACCTGGGGACGAGGTTGAGTTGTTTTGGTTGTGAACTTGAAAAAATGGCAGACATTTCACTCGTTTCAAGAGTAAGAACTAGGCGAAAAAATAGCTAAAAACATGGCAAGAACAGCAGGAAGACAACTCGAAGGGCAACATCTGCTATTTGGAGAATATTTGCGGAGCTGAACAAACCTAAACGTACACTATCGAAGATGAACTGAACATCGATGAATCGATGGAGGTAAGCATGTTATAGCTATGTTTTTAAACTAGGAATTATTTTGAATGAATAATAAAACAATTATTGAATTTGGCTTTCGTCTCATATGAAAAATTATGGAGATCTCGGAGGGTGTTATCCGCCTCGGCCTACGGCCTCGACGGATAACACCCTCCTCGATCTCCATAATTCTTCATAAGATACTCAGCCTCATTCATTAATTGTTAATTAAGAAGATCTTGAAACAACTTTATGACGCTGAAATAAATTATTCACTGGCGCAAGCTTCTTGCATATTAAGATTTATTTTTTTCTAAGCTTGCCGAGCGGGCGGAATCCTCCAAATCCTGCAATTTGATTGGTTGCGAGGGCGGGCAGTTTTTTACGATCTTGCACGCTATTTCAACATGATTTTTAACCTGTAATTTACATTTTCACAATTAAGCTCTCTTTAAAATAAAGAAAGGTTTTTGTGTCTTGGTAGACAATTCATAATCTGAGTGTCAAACAAGGATAAAAGAATTGACGAACTTAAAAGCCACAGGAAAGAAAATACATCAAAGACTTTGTTCGGCTGAATATTTACTTAGAGATTAATTCAATCGAGCAGGATAAAAACTGCCCAAAGGCTTTATAAAAAGAGCTAATTACACATACCAATCTTAGGGTTTTGAAGTGAATTCGAATAAAAGAAGGCGATGTGGGTAACTAAACAATTATATAAACAAAGAAATAAAAACGGCGATAACTGACTGCTGGAAAAGTTGTTCGTGTTGTTTATTCAAGATTGAAAACTACATGCAATCGTTGACAACAACCTTTTCTGAAAAGTAGAAAACCAGCGAGGCAAAATTCAATGGAAAACGGCAGAATCTATAGATTCAGACAGCGAAAATGGAAAACAAACCTACAAACAGAGGAAAAATGTCGAATAAACGGTGCATAAGAGCAAGATTAATTGCAGCACTTAAAGCGCAGTTATTATTAAATGTTTTGTTTTGGTTTGCAATCGATCGGGCGCTTTGAATAACATCAACGCGAACACGCCCTTCTTCAACACACAATTAGGTTAGAGGCTGAAGTAAAATTTTCCTGAAACTTTTAAATCTCAGTAGGAAAAAAATAAAAATGTTATTCACCGGCCTAGGTCGGTCCGTATTGGGAGAAACAGTGCCGACGGTCTGAGTACCGCCCTCGGCCTACGTAAGGCCTCAGGCGGTACTTAAGA